CACTTGGTAGCCCAGGCTGGCCTCGAACTCACAGAGATCCGCCTGGCTCTGCCTCCCAAGTGCTGGGATTAAAGGCGTGCGCCACCACCGCCCGGCAAGACTTTCTTTTCTCAAAGTCCCGCATGAGCAAAAGGGTTTAGACCAGTTTGAAACTCAAACTGAGAGGTGCTGGGGCTTTGGGGGGGTGTGGGGTGTGGCCAAGAACCGCCTAGTCTGTTTGCTCGGGGGAGGGAAGCTAGCTGAATGGGGAGCCGGGTGGAGTCCAGGGGAGGAAAAGGTTAAGGCCCTGTGTGGGAAGGGGTGGGAGACAAAGGTGCCCTGTCTGTTGTAGAGGGAATGGGAGGGGGGAGAGCGCCAGGCATTTATATCATGAGATCTAGCTTTGCCCTTGGCCCCAGGCACGTTCCTGGGCCCTGAGTCATGGGAAGGGTACAGAAGCAAGAAGGGGCTTCTGGGAAATCTTAGGGAGGTAAGGGCCCAGAAGCTCGCGGATGCAAGCAGACCTATGTAAGGATGCCCTCTTCTGACCGTTGGGAGGACCACAGAGAGGTCCTGTCCTAGCCAAATGGGATCCTGACACTGACTCTTCTCTTTCCTAGCAATACCAAGAAGGAGGGAGACTTGCTGGCTGCCCAGGCCCGGCTCAAGGACCTGGAGGCTCTTCTCAACTCCAAGGAAGCCGCCCTGAGCACTGCTCTCAGTGAGAAGCGCACACTAGAGGGCGAGCTCCATGATCTGCGGGGGCAGGTAGCCAAGGTAGGCCTTCCTGTGACCCCAGTGACCCAACCTGATGAGTGCATACTGACTCTTCCTCCTTAGCCTGCCCTTGGGAGGTGTCTGGTCTGACCTGTCAGTCCCAAGGCCATTCACCTGTCTAGCATCACTTAGCCGGTCCAGACCATTGCTCATCCTTCTTTGGCCGTCAAGGAGCCATAGCACGGTGACCTTAGAGCATGGCTCTGGGTCCCTCCCCTCCTGTCTCCTCTAGACGGCCTAACCTCTTCAGAGGAGAGCTGTCCACCGAGGCCATAATAGAGGCCTGATGGCTAATTATACCTAGGTGTGGGTCAGTGCTGCTTTGTGTGTGCAGTGTCCATATCTTTCAAGGCACTCCTCTCTGGTCCTCTGATTTCTCATCTTACCCGAGAGGGAGCAGGGCCACAGAAGCCAGTGACGCGGTTTCATGGTCTTGCCTGCCTAGAGTAGGCCAGGCCTGGAGCCCATGACAAGCTGGCACCCCGAGCTGTTTTCCTTCCGGGTCTCTTTCTCACCCCCATGGCACCATGAAACCCAGGAGCAACAGCTGGCTGACTCCAGAGCCCAAGCTGGGCCCCTCCCTGCCCAGCTCTTCCAGGCCTGCTGAGGGGCCGGCACTTTGGATGGCTCGGCTTGTGCTTCCTGCCAGAACAACTTGCAGGGATCTGGTCTCTCCCTCTGTCACGTGGGCTCTAGGGATAGAACTTAGGTTCTGCCCTGAGGATGGCAAGCACCTCTCCCTGATGAACCTTCTTCCCACCGGCCCTCATCCGGAACTTCTTAGGGCCATGGCTACCACGAGTCGTTACTGTGAGAATGTGGACATTTTCCCCCTAACGGGCATCGAAGGCCTTCACTGCCTCTAGACCCGTTCTCCCTGGGGACAGCTATCACTCGGCTTCTTTGGCATGTCCCGAGCACCCTCTCCATGACCTGGACTTTCTTCCTCTCAGCTTGAGGCAGCCCTAGGTGAGGCTAAGAAGCAACTTCAGGATGAGATGCTGCGGCGAGTGGATGCTGAGAACAGGCTGCAGACCCTGAAGGAGGAACTGGACTTCCAGAAGAACATTTACAGTGAGGTGAGCACCACGCTGATGGGCCTGAGGGCTGATGAGCGACAGCTGGACATCGAGCTAGGGGTCAGGGGTCACCTGTATGCCAAGCACACCAGCCTGAAGCCCTGTACTCGTGGTGTGCACCCAGCTCCCAGGCTGATGGAAGGCTGCCCATGGCCTGTAGGGTTAAGGCAAGACTGGGAGCCAGGGCTTCTGGGTCTCAGCTTCTAAAGAACCATTCTGATGTGCATTCCTGCCTCTTGAACCCTTTCAGGAGCTGCGTGAGACCAAGCGCAGGCACGAGACCCGGCTTGTGGAGATCGATAACGGGAAGCAGCGTGAGTTTGAGAGCCGGCTGGCGGATGCCTTGCAAGAGCTGCGGGCCCAGCATGAGGACCAGGTGGAACAGTATAAGAAGGAGCTAGAGAAGACATACTCTGCCAAGGTGCTGGCCTCACCCCATCCTCTCCCCTGGTGCTTCCCTAGCAGCCTATCCTACCCATGTTGGGCGTGCCTTGGGTGGACAGTAGCGGGGAGCTTGAGCCAGGACCTGAGGCTGCCGTGGTGACACCGTCCTCAGGTCCCTAGCTCTATCCCTCCAGATCCCTGTTCTAACAGCGTCCGCTCCCCGCAGCTGGATAATGCCAGGCAGTCTGCCGAGAGAAACAGCAACCTCGTGGGGGCTGCCCATGAGGAGCTCCAGCAGTCTCGCATCCGCATCGACAGCCTCTCGGCCCAGCTCAGCCAGCTCCAGAAGCAGGTGATGCCCCGTTTACCCTTTCCACCAGGGCACTGGGCTGAGCAGAAGCCCACGGGAAGAGGGGGAGTGGAGGGGAAGAGGGAGCCGGGACTACACACTGTGTCTGGAGTCTGACGCCTGCCTGGGTTTCCAGTACCCCCTTAGCCGGCCTTGATCCTCGCGCCTCTGGTTTACCGTTTGTGTATGAGAGGCTTCTTCCTGTTGATTTTGTGCCTGCTGGGGATTGAACCCGGGGCCTGGTGCATGGTAAACAGGTACTTTATCCCTGAGTTACATTCCTAGCCTCATTTCCTATTTGAAAATGGAGATTACCTTTGGCTGGGCTTATAGCTTAGTTGGTAGAGTGTTTGTTTATCATGCATGAAGCCCTGGCTCTGTCCCCAGCACGGCATAGAACCTGGCGTAGTGGTCCATGCCTTTCCTCCCAGGCTGAAGTATCAGAGATTCAGGGTCATCCTCAACTATATAGCAAGTTTGAGACCAGCCTAGACTACATGAGACCCTGTCTCAAAAAAAGAAAAGAAGGCCAGGTGGTGGGAGTGCATGCCTTTAATCCCAGCACTCAGGAGGCAGAGGCAGGCGAATCTCTGAGTTCAAGGCCAGCCTGGGCTACAAAGCAAGTTCCAGGACAGCCAGGGATTCACAAAGAAACCCTGTCAAAAAAGCCAGGTGGTGATGACACACAATTTTAATCCCAGCACTTGGGAGGCATAAAGAGGTGGATCCCTGTGAGTTCAAGGCCAGCCTGGTTGGGAAACAAAACAAAACAAAACAGAGCAAAACAACAACAAAACCCAAACCCAAACCAAACAAAAAAATAAAAAAGAAATCCTTAAAATAAAATTTAAAAAAAGGATGGAAAATGGTAAACATTATTGTCCTCCCTGTTCACAGATCAGTCCTAACACACTGTGAAATATTATTTTAGATGGTGTGCTATTTGTGACAAGAGATTTCAGTTAGATGTTAGGAAGAGCTTCCTAGCCACTGGATACAGCCATGGTGTTTTTGTTTTTATTTATTTATTTATTTTTATTTTATGAACTTTAGTGTTTTGCCTGCATGTGTGTCTGTGTGGTGAGGGTGTCAGGTCTCCTGGAACTGGAGTTACAGACAGTTGTGTGTTGCCCTGTGGTTGTTAGGAATTGAACCCAGGTCCTCTGGAAGAACAGTCAGTGCTCTTAACCGCTGAGCCATCTCTCCAGCCCGGGCCATGGTGTTTCTAATAAGCGCCTCCAGATCCTGAGTGCCCCTCCCTCTTCATTATTTGTGGCCCTTGCCTTTCCCACCCACCCCAGTTGGCAGCCAAGGAGGCAAAGCTGCGTGACCTGGAGGACTCGCTGGCCCGGGAGCGGGATACTAGCCGGCGGCTGCTGGCTGAAAAAGAGCGAGAGATGGCCGAGATGCGGGCGAGGATGCAGCAGCAGCTGGATGAGTACCAGGAACTGCTGGACATCAAGCTGGCCCTGGACATGGAGATCCATGCCTATCGAAAGCTGCTGGAGGGCGAGGAGGAGAGGTGAGCCAGGAGGGTCAAGAGAGGTTGGCGGGAGCCTCAGGCCGGCAGCTACCATGACTAACCCCCACCTTGTCTCCACCTTCTTAGGCTGCGCCTGTCCCCCAGCCCTACCTCGCAGCGCAGCCGCGGCCGCACCTCCTCTCACTCGTCCCAATCGCAGGGCGGGGGCAGCGTCACCAAAAAGCGCAAGCTGGAGTCTGCCGAGAGCCGGAGCAGCTTCTCACAGCATGCTCGCACTAGCGGGCGTGTGGCGGTGGAGGAAGTGGACGAGGAGGGAAAGTTTGTGCGCCTGCGCAACAAGTCCAACGAGGTGGGCCTCTGGATGGGGGTCTCGCATCCAATGGCCGGGAGACGCTGGTTCTCACGGAGCATCGTCTCTCTGTCTGGGAATTTGGAGTATGTGGCAGTCCCTACATCTCTAAATTGTTGGGGAGATGAAAGACACCAGTGTGTGTGTGTCACAGCAGCCACATACGACCCTCGAGGGATAGATAGGCTGTTAGCGGGTCTGAGTGCTGGAGATGGTGGGGCAGGCCTGCCTTTTTTCTGTTTCCTTTCTTTTGAGATGGGGCCTCAGCCTCCAGAGTAGCTGGGACTACAGGTGTGCACGGTGGCACCTAGCCTGCCTACCTGGGCTCTTGCGTGAGATAAGCCAAGGACCAGGTTGAGCCTCCCCGTCTTCCGCCCTCCCCCTCCGGCAGGACCAGTCCATGGGCAACTGGCAGATCAAGCGTCAGAATGGTGATGATCCCTTGATGACCTATCGCTTCCCACCAAAGTTCACTCTAAAGGCCGGGCAGGTGGTGACGGTGAGTGGAAGGCTGTTCGGGACCCAGGAGTGGGGAAGTTGGCCCCTGGACAGGACATTAAGAATAAGCACCCTTCTTAAACTGTCTTTTTCCAGATCTGGGCTGCAGGCGCTGGGGCCACCCATAGCCCCCCGACTGACTTGGTGTGGAAGGCGCAGAATACCTGGGGCTGTGGGAATAGTCTTCGCACCGCTCTCATCAACTCCACTGGAGAAGTGAGTATGATACAGCGGGCCTATACTCTTGCTGGAGTAGGCGCCCCCTGGTGGCCATAATGGGAGCCAGCCACCCCCGACCCAATGCAACCTGCATTTAGGACCACTTTCCTGAGCCCAAGACCAGTAAGCGAGCTAGAAGTCTCCCCAGTAGGATGATGGGTCGAAGTCAGCCAGTAAACGTTGCTAGCCACGAACTCTAGGCTAAAGAACACTGAGCTCCCGATGGTGTCCTTCCTGCATGTGTCTATAAGCACATTCCTGAACGCCAGCATCAGAGGTCGGGGCAGTTAAAGAGCAGAGCCTGGGACGGGTCCAGGTGGGAAGGTTCTGGGAAAGAACTGTGGGTAGACAGGCTGACTCTCCGACCTGGGCCTGTGTCCACAGGAAGTGGCCATGCGCAAGCTGGTGCGCTCCGTGACCGTGGTTGAGGACGATGAGGACGAGGATGGAGATGATCTGCTCCATCACCACCACGTGAGTGGCAGCCGCCGCTGAGACCCAGCCCACATGGGTAGCCCTACCAGCCTAGGGCAGCTCCCCCACCTCCATGCCAAAGTCTTTTCATTAAAGAATGTTTTGGAATGCCACTCGCTGCCCTGGCCTTTCTTCTCTCTCCTCCCTCTGCCTTGCACAGGGAACACAGGTGTCTGGTAAGGAAGGGAGCGGGACCTATCTGATTCCATGGACCATTCCACGGTGGCAGTGGACAGGATCTGGATTTGTCTCCGGGGAAGGGGATGGGAGGACAGAGATGCCCCCGGCGCTGCCTCTCTTCCCCACTCCCATTGCATGCATCCTTCTCTTGTCTCTTCCTCTCTGTTGCATGCTTCTCTCGTGTTTCCCTGACTTCCCGCAACATTGCTTTCTCTCATTCCTATCCCCCCACAATTAAAAATCTCCATCTTTGGTCTCCCTCCCAATTCCCCTGCGAGTTTCTAGGATTCAGGAGAGAGTGAGAGCCACGCCTCTCCATCTCAAAGCCTTCCTGGCCATTTCCCCCTATCAGGTCCTTCCTCCCAGCCACAGGCCTCCCAAGTCCCTATTCACTCTGGCTGTCTGGGTACAGATGCCACCTTCCTGCCCAATGGCCAGGAAGCTCCAGGAGCCCAGAGCCTGGGTGCTGGTCCCGAGCAGTCAGTCCCAGGCACGCTGTGCCTCCTGAGCCTTATCTCCCTTCCCAGGGCTCCCACTGCAGCAGCTCGGGGGACCCCGCCGAGTACAACCTGCGCTCTCGCACCGTGCTGTGTGGGACTTGTGGGCAGCCTGCGGAAAAGGCCGCCAGTGGCTCAGGAGCCCAGGTGGGCGGATCCATCTCCTCTGGCTCTTCTGCCTCCAGTGTCACAGTCACCCGAAGCTACCGCAGTGTGGGGGGCAGTGGGGGTGGCAGCTTCGGGGACAGCCTAGTCACCCGCTCCTACCTCCTGGGCAGCTCCAGTCCCCGGACCCAGGTGAGTCACCTCTTTGCCTCTACCCTACAGCAGGACACTGCTCACCCAACAGCGGCAGGGCAGGGCAGCCCAGGGGGTGGGACCCTCCCCCTTGCAGCCCCCCCTTGCGCCCTGCCCCTCCTGTCTGAACCCCAGACTGGAGGGCGGGGCCAGGGCCAGAGTGTGAGGGTTGGGGAGACACCCCCCCCCCCTTGGGGGTCAGGGAGGGAGAGGAAGGGCCAGCCACTGTGCTCACACCTGCCTTCTCTTCTCTCTTAGAGCTCCCAGAACTGCAGCATCATGTAATCTGGGCCCTGCCAGGCAGGGGTGGGGTCAGGGGCCACCTGCTCCCTCCTCACCTCATGCCCACCTCCTGCTCTGCACCTTATGGGAGCAGGCCTGAAGCCAAAGAAAAATTTATTCCCTGCCTTTGGGTTTTTTTTTCTTCTATTTTTTTTTTCTAAGAGAAGTTATTTTCTACAGTGGTTTTATACTGAAGGAAAAACACAACCAAAAAAAAAAAGTCTCTATCTCAATCCTAAGTCCTTCCCCTTCTTTCCCGTATCTGCCTTAAAACCAAAGGGCTGCTTCTCCCAGGAGGCCAGCCAGGGAAAGGACTGCTTTTATAGAGTCTAGTTTTTGTCCTGCTGCCTTGGCCTTGCGCTCATCCCAGGACCCCGTGACATGGTGCCTGAGAGGCAGGTGTGGAGTTCTCTTCACCAGCTTCCTCCAGACAGCTGGCCCAGTGCCGTGCCGGCTGCAGAGAAGCGGGGTGCAGAGGGGATGGCCGAGAGGTCAGGCCCCTCCTGGGTCCACTACACTTGGCTGAGGCTCCTCTGCCTGCCTCACCCTCTTCCTGCCCCATCCCCCGCAGCCTGGGGTCAGTGGGTTCTCCCAGGCCCCGCCCCTCCGCCATGCTTGCTTTTTCTATATTTTATTTAGACAAGGGATGGAAATGAGGTGGAAGGAGAAGGGGAGGTCAGTTGGAGCCCACCTTTCCCAGCTTTACAGCCTGGTGGGCCCTGTCCCGTCGCTGGAGGGCGAAACCAAGTGGGGTGTCGGGAAGAGTGAGAAAGGGAGGCTGCTGGAAAGGCTGAGGGCCTGCTGGGGCCCTGCCGCAGGGGAGTAGAGCGTGTGGTGATTGATGGGGACGGTAAACACTAAGGAGCCCTTCACCCCATTTCCCATCGGCACCTCTGCTCTCCCTCCAAATCAATACACTAGTTGTTTCCATCCTGGATGCTGTGGTGTCTCTTTGTTGGGTGTCACGTGGTGTTCCGAGGGGCAGACACATGCACACACAGGTGCCACAAGCCACCACATAGTCAACGCTACCCAGCCTCCCCCTCATCTAGGGCCACAGGAAGATGTGAAGATGCATGTTGGGTCCTGGAGGGGACTTCTCTGAAGACTGGTACGTGGGTGGGAAGGAGAGGCATTTCCTTCCTCACCCTCATCTGCCCAGCACTGATCCAGCACCTTCTAAATGGGGCCCTCAAGTGTGAATCAGCAGACACAGGGACACATTTGCAGGGCAACGTGGCTGGGTAGGGAGCAGCAAAGCATCCCTTGCGAAAGGCCACACCTGTAGTCCCAACACTCTGGATGCCGTGATTGCCTTGGTAGTCTGAGATACTCTCACAGGAAAAAAACAAAAACAAAAAGCCAGGTGTGACTCACACCTGTAATCTCAGGACCCTGGAGACAGAGGCGGGAGGATTGCTACAAGTTCCAGGCCAGCCTGGTCTACATAGTGAGTTCCAGGCCATCTAGGAACTCTGTCACAAAAAGGAGGGGGAAAAAAAGGAAAAGGCTGAGGTGTGGTGAGTTTGAGGCTATCCTGGGATACATGAGACCCTTTTTCAAAAACAAAATGTTAGTGTTTCCATGTAAAAGAGCTGAGCATTCAGTCAACAGTGATTGAGGTCTGAAGAGATGGCTCAGAAGTTACGAGCTTGTAATGCTCTGAACAGAGGACCTGAGTTTGATTCCCAGCACTCCTATCTGGAGGCTCATAACTGCCCAGAACTCCAGCTCTAGAGCATCCAACATGTCTTCCGGTCTCCAAGGACAGCTGCTTCATATATGCACCCCCCATGTACCCTAATCAAACCCTTTTAAAGAAATGATTGAGCCAGGGGTGGTGTTGCATGTCTTTAATCTCGGCATTCCAGAGGTGGAGGCAGGAGGATCTCTGAGTTCGAGGCCAGCCTGTTATATATAGCAAATTCCAGCAACCAGGGCTACATAGAAGAGATCTTGTCTTTAAAAAAAAAGAAAAAAAAAAAAAAAAAAAAAAAAAAGCAGGCAGGGGCTGGAGAGATGGCTCAGAGGTTAAGAGCACTGACTGCTCTTCCAGAGGACCTGAGTTCAATTCCCAGCAATGACATGGTGGCTCACAACCATCTGTAATGAGATCTGGTGCCCTCTTCTGACCTGCAAACATACATGCTGTATACATGATAAATAAATAAATCTTAAAAAAAAAAAAAAAAAGCAAGGGGTGGTGTTGAGGGCCAATGAGATGGCTTCATAGGTGAAGGCACTGCTAACCTAAGTTCCATCCCTAAGACACACTCCTGCACAATGTCCTCTGACCTCCATGTGCATGCCTGTTCTGTGATACTATTCTTTGGGAGACTGAACAATGACTACTGACCCCAGATAGAGACATGACAAAAAATCAGAATTAAGGAACCACAAAGCCCAACTGTATAGCTCTGGCTGTCCTGGAACTCCCAATGTAGACCAAGCTGGCCTTGAACTCACAGAGATCTGTCTGCCTTTGCCTCCCTAGTGCTGGGATCAAAAGTGTGGGTCACCATGCCCAGTCCTAACATCCTGTGTCTTAATAAGATTCCCTACAGCCGGGCGGTGGTGGCGCAGGCCTTTAATCCCAGCACTCGGGAGGCAGAGGCAGGCAGATCTCTGTGAGTTCGAGGCCAGCCTGGGCTACCAAGTGAGTTCCAGGAAAGGCGCAAAGCTA